TTATGATTAACTAACATTCAATAGCTAAAGTAGATATTTGTTAAATCTTGCAAAAAATTTGCTTTATAGTGAAATAGTGCATTATTTAAATAGAATTAAATTAAATTTATAATAGATTTATTATAACTGTACAAAACCTAAAATAATAGATCTCCAAAAGCCAATTTAGCAAAAAGGAACACGCTTAAGTATCAACAAACATCGTCCTTTTTTATATAAATTATTGGTAAACCGAATATTCAAAGACAGCTAAAGTAGATCCCAAATGGTATTGCCGAATGTGAATAATAATAAAGCTGTTTGATATTGTCAAAATTTAAATTTAGTATAATTTTATTTTGGTCTCCGCGGTACTGTCTCACATTTAGATAGAAAGGCGCAAGTGTGATCAGAGACTCGCTCATGATCGGTCGAATGAGTATCATGCTTTGATTTGTTTGCTTAAAAACGTGTATGTAGTTTCATTGAAGCCGGCCGGCTAGAGGAGAAGCAACCTTGGTGGGGTGAGTCCATTTTACCTTAGTGTGAGGTGACGCTATTTAATTTCTTGTATAATTGAATGATTAATTTTTCTTTTTGATAATTATGGTAATATAAAACAAAAGCTAAATCAATTTTTATATCAAAAACCTAATTGTATTTATTGGTTTAAATGAGCTTACAGAATTTAACAACAGGGTAATGTCTAGGTACATTGTGCCTTCTATACATGCAGTTTAATTGAAGAATTGGGGTATTTTTTATATGAACTTTTTTTGTATATTGTGATGCTAACGTATATATAATATATATAAATATATATAAATATTGTTTTAAATTGTAGAAATTCAATACATAAATATTTTCAGTGTGGTAAAAGTTAATTTTAAAATAATTTACAATAACAGTTTAAAAAGTACAATAGAGATTATAAAATACATACAGTTTACAAGATTTTTTTATTTGTTAAGTTTCATCCTTTAAATTTCTATATTATTAGTCAAATACAGTAATAGGTTTTTACTTTTTAAGTCCGATAATTCAAATTTCGTTGTTTGAGAGATATTAATTTTAGAATTTTAAAACAAACACTATCAAAATTAATTGCGGACAAATGGCAATGTCTTATTTCATACTATCATATACCTATGTGTTTAAATAACTGAGTATTTTATAGTCATCTTGTATTTTGTGAATGCAGGTGGGAACATTGTCAGTACTATATTGAGTTTGGTGCAGAATGCTTTGAGATATCCACGCAAAGCGTTCTGCGATTTTATTTACGTCACTGTCGAGTCAGATAATGACCAGTGCTATTAAAGAAATTACTTTTTTACATTCATTACGCTTTTAAATCCGTTTCAGATGTCACGATTATGCCGTTGAGGAACTATAAACTGAGATTCTTCATTTCGCACAAATTTCTCATGTTCTCGAAATTACTATCTAGAGAATATTAAAAATAACTGTTTGAGAAGTTTATGGACACTTCAAAACTATATTATTATTATACTATATAAACTATATTCACAAATCAAAACTATATTATATTTATTTTAGATGGCCTGTAGTTAACTTTGCTATAAATAATCTGTAATCGTAAATCATACAGGATGTTCAAAATTCTACGCCAAACTTTCTAAAATGCAAAATAATTTTTCTTTGTTATTTTAAATGGAACACCCTGTATATTATTTTTTTAATAGATGGAGGATTAAAAAATGAGCATTTTTTGTATTCCGCGTATTTCCAATTTGTTAACGGTTTCGCACATATTCGCAGTTTTATATTTCATATAACATTTTCTGGAGTAAATTTTCATCAAAGCCACCCAGTGATTTTTCTCTCGTATTTTATTGTTTAAAGATCCATATGAAATAATAATGCCTGTATCTGCAAAACTACTAAATATTCTGAAATACTTTAAATGCAAAAAATGTTAGTTTTATAATTCTCTATCTAATACGAAAATAATATACAGTGTCCATAAAACAACAGAAAAAATATATATATATATATTTTAAAAAGTTTGGCGTAGAATTTTGAACAGCCTGTATGATTTAAAATTGCAATATTTATAGCAAAGTAGGTATAGACCTTCTAAAGTAAATACTTAGTATAGTTTTGATTTCAGGACAGTGTTTGTATTTGTGATATTTTTTTAAAGGAAGTTGAAAAATATATATTTTGTATTTATTTATTAATATCTCTGAAATTAGTGAAATATATTTACTCATTTCTTAGGATTATGTAAAGTTAACTGAAAGGAAGCCAAAAATGCAATTAAGTATGTGTTGGTGTGACAGATATGTATGACTATACAGGGTATGTCTAAAATATGTGCAAATATTTTCAGAGCTGGTAGATCTCGATAATAGAAACATATCTTTTTTTAACTGTTTTTCAAACAATTCCAAAATAACCGAGATGTTTTACTTTCAAAATTTAAAAAAATGGAACAACAACAGGATATTTTCTTTAGGAGTTTCCTTCCTTTGAAAAATTTCAAAAAAATGTTTTAAAAAATTACAAATTTTCAATTCTTTTTTCACGAAAAAAACTCTTAGACGTGTTTCTTACGGCGAAATACACGATGTCCCAGGCTAAGCGTGCATTAGAAGTTTCTAGAAAACTACAATATCTAGATTGGAGATTTTTTGCACATCATTGTTATACAACGAGACCTATCGATTAATTTTTTTTTTAATATGGCGGCACTTCCGGAGATACCGGAAGTTGACCGCAATTTTCTTATTTTAAATGGATGCCCCCATTTTTTATTACATACTTAAATTCTCTGTAAAATTCTATGAATTTTTTTATTAAACACTCTATACTTAGCATTAACCGTTTTTGAAAAAAAAAATTTTTTTAATTTTTGGACGAAAAAAACTGCCTGTCAAAAATATGTGTATAGTCTAAACGTCAAATTTAGTGATTACCACAGCCATTGTGCTATAAAGAGAAGACATTTAACGCAAACAATTTAATTATTTCAAAAACTAAATTGTTCAAATGTCATATAATGGCCGCAGCTGTCATGGTATTGAGCGATTAAAAAATTACCAGAAATCATTTTTTTTAAATGGAAATCCGCTTTTTTTATTTTACTAGTGAAAAGTCGTTACTTTTTGCCTATATATGTTCCTATATCTAACACAAATCGTTATTTATGATTTAGTTTTAAAGCGTATATTTTTATTGCAAGAAAACCGCATACCAAAATCTCTGGTTTACGGTGAGCTTGTAGACGGTAAGAGGAGGCCGGGTGGACAACTCAAAAAGTACAACGGAAACTTAAACGGGGATTAATACGCAGAATGAGTGGGAAGAAACAGCTCACAATAGAACTCAATGGAGAAAAATTGTAAACTCAGTTAACAGCGACAACCAAAAAGTAAAGAGGCAACAAAGCAATGAGATTTTTGAATGTCCGGAGTGCGGTAGGCAGATGACATCTCGTATCTGGCTTTTCAGTCACAGAAAAGCTCATTAAAGAAAACGCCTTGCGTGAAAATCTTCTGATGCGTGTCAAATACTCGTCAGCGAGTAATGGCAGTATGTAGTATGTATGCATTAAAACTTCAATTCTTTGTGTAAACGAAAACTGCATTGTACTTCAAAGCAAGGGAATGTTTAATTGATAACAAAATGCTCTAACACTCAAGTGACAAGGCTAACAATAAGACTGGTGTATACTTAGCCTGTGCCTACCTGCAGTTATGAATTTAAAAAAAAAATATTAAGATGTTTTTTGATAGCGTAAAGTTTTTTATTTTTTGTAAACAAACGGTTCAATAGAGACCTATTAACCCATATAGCGTTAAATTCGTCTCGATGAGCTATATCGATATTCGTCAAAATATACGGGGCATTCCATTTAAAAAATTGAAGTGTCACGTGATATTTTTTGGGGTCACCCTTTATAATAGCAAATTAGTTAAAAAAATATATATTTTTCTTGATTTTAAAGAGTAATGTAAAACAATAGCTCTGGCCATGTCGTACAGTGACACTCGTTCAAAAAGCAGTATGTTATCGATCATCATTTCCAAGCCAATTTTGCGTTTTTTTTTGTCAATCATATGATAGATTATTAATAATAATTAATAATATCAACTATTAGATATTATTAAAGAGCGAAAATGCGAGATATATATTTTTATAAATACACTTTTTAAACTCTTAAGCATGCAGCATTTATAATATAGGAAATTCAAATGATTCGTTTCCTGACAGATGGAAATAAATTGTTTGACTGTTTGACACTTAATGTCAAAGGAAGCTAGATAAAATCAAGTAAAATATACGTTTTCAAAATAAATCTTAAATAACTTAAAAACGATTTATTTAAGGTATAGGAACATGTATAGATAAAAAGTAACGAATTGAAAAACCTTTTCACTAGTGAAATAAAAAAAGTTACTTTCCATTTGAAAAAAAAAAACGATTTATGATAATTTTTTAATCGCTTAATTTCATGACAGCTGCCGCCAATATTATATGACATTTGAACAACTTAATTTTTGAAATAGATAGCTACATGTCTTGTCTTTATGCCAGAGTAGCTGTGGTAATCACTAAAATTTACTTTTGGGCTATACAATTTTCTTGACAGGTACTTTTATCCGTTCAAAAATTTTTAATATTTGTTTTCTCCAAAATGGTTAATGTTAGGTATAGGGTGTTTAACATCAATATTCATAGAATTTTACAGAGAATTTAAGTATGTAATAAAAAAAGGGGAGCACTAATTTAAAATAAGAAAGTTACTGTCAACTACAGGTATTTCCGGAAGTGCCGCCATATTGCAAATATTTTTAATCGATAGATCTCGTTGTAAAACAATGATGTGCAAAAAATCTTCGATCTAGATATTGTGGTTCTCTAGAAACTTCTAATGCACGCTCAACCTGGGACAGCTTATATACTACCCCAAAAATATTTGCACTTATTTAAAACTGACCCTGTATAGTAAGAAATAAATAATACATTAAACCATAAGGATCAAGTTTACTTACGACAAGAGTATTTCCTAGAGCGCCCAGCACAATTAGCACACCGTACATAACAGCCAGCACAGTATAAGCCGGTTCGTCGATAGCCTTGTTTGTCAGATAGCGCTCATACAGCTTCGGATCGACCGTGCTGCTTTTGTTCAGGACCTCGTTCAGCGTGTTGTTGTCAGACCGGTGGATTTCGTCGCCCATTTTGTCCGCGTCGTCTCCTTTAATCAGGTGCACGAAAATGTAAGAGAACATTCAAGAAGCGTAGGAGAATATTCAAGACGGGCCAGACTAATGAAATCCAGTGGAGTGAGACGAGTGTTTACGCTGGTCGGTGTGGATTCATATTGAGTTAGCCTTGTGGTGGTTTATTGATGCTTGGTATCTGAAAACAAGAAGAGATATTTTGATTAGTTAATATTTAGTTAAAATTTAAATCTTAATTTTAGTTTTTTAAAAATTTTAATTTCATTAACTCTAAGGCTTCATTCATAACTTGGAAATTAGTGATTTCAATTAGCGTAGAAGTTTGTTTCTCTAATTTCGATGTAAGCATTCAGAACGTCAGAATTAGTGATTGTAATTTTCAATTAACGAGTAATGTCATTATGGCTTTTGATTATCATACGTTAGGAGAAATTGTGTTTCAACAACAATATTTTTTGCAAACGTCACAAAAGTATTAATTTTTGCGACGTGATTGACAATATAAAAAAGTCATTTTAACGCCTAGGCATAAAAGAAAAGCAATTTTACGCTTAAGCATAAGAGTACGAAAATAGTTATTTACAGTACAAGTGTGTTTTTAACATGATTACAACGAGTGTGAACGAATCACACGAGTGTTGTAATCATGTTTAAACGCACGTGTCATGTACGACGATTTATCTACAACCGAAAAATAAGAAAATGCTGTTTTAATTTTCGTTTATTAGTCGCCCATCTTTAACACCTTTAACTATGATATTTGTCACATTTTTAAAAGTCAGTTTGCCCTGTCAAGTAGACGCGAGCACGCTTTGCCAAAAAAATTATTTTAAAAATTACGATGAGCGATTCCGGAAGTCTCCCTTCAGATATAGAAGTTGCAGCAGTACGTGCCGCGGAATCATTATTGCCGGAAAAGTCGCGATCAAAATATGAAAAATTATACAACCAGTTATAATCATCATCCTCAGCAGCAGGAATTGTTTTGAAGAAGTGTAAAAAACGTGTTGTTAATATTTATAATAATTAGTAGTAGGAATTTGTATCAAAAATTAATATATTTAGATGTTCGTAGGTAGTTGTTTTTCATTATTATAAAAACTAGTTGTGTTAGAGATTCATAACACCACTAGTTGTGTTATGAATCTCATAACGTAACTGAAATACTAAAAAAATAGTGATGTAAAAACGTTATAACTAAACGGTTGTAGATAAAATATATTATTAACCCTCGGGCAGGCGCGTACTTTAGAATCACACGACCGGGCGCGTAGCGGTATTCCGTACCGCATTTATATTTTTTAAGTATTCTGTAATTTAAAATATTTTTTTGTAAAATTTAGCATGCCAAACAGTAAAAAGCAACATTTTTAATACATATTTACTTTATTAACACAAAAAAAAACTTTATTATAAAAAAAAGAACCAAACGAATCATTTTTAGTGTTCAAAATAAAAAAAATTATTTTGCTCAAATCCCTTTACATAATCAAAATTTTTTTAACCACTGGAAGAAGATGAAACTATAATCTAAATATTTTAGTCTGCTTCTGTAGATAAAAAACTAGTAGTTTTATGGGGTTCACTCCACCAGGGATCAACTCGTTTCTTATTGTCTCTAACTAGTACCTTTATCTCTGAAGCATATTTAGCGAAAAAAACTTGGAAATCTCTGGGAAAAGTTTGTATACTTTGTATATTCCGTCATTTACCACAGATTATATAACATATATTTAAGAGATTATGATAAAATGAATCGAACAAATTAATTAACTATTTAAAATTACACGAAATAATGCTAAATAATTAAATAATATGATAACTATTTTACTTACATAACAGGGGGCGTAGCGACATGGAGTACCGCAATTTTAGTTACAAGTTGGAGTGTGCAACTGTAGTTGCACAAAATTCCCGATACGCCCGGTCAATGGTTAAACTGACATAAAGTGACAAATTCTACGAGCGTAACCACGTATACGTATTTTAAGGGGTGGTAGATCTCGATAAAAGAAACATATTTTCACTTTATCGTTTTTCAAATAAGTCCAAAATAACGGAGTTATTTTACTTTCAAAATTTGCAAAAAAATAATTTTTTCCTAAAATTTTGAGACCACTGGATCTTTTCTGAATTTCTTTCTTGTAAATTTAATCTAATATCTATGTTGCCAATTTATCAAGAAATTATGTTTTTTAACTAAAAACTAAAAAAAATTTAAAAAAATTTCAAATTTTCAAATTTTTTTTTTTTTGCAAAAAAAAACTCATAGGCGTGTTTCTGGGGTTGAAATATACTACCAGTTAAAATATTTGCACTTATTTCTGGGACACCCTGTATATTTACATATGACGCAGAACGAATGAATTATATGCATAATATGAATAATTCAGCACATACAAAGTATGACTTTTACTTTGACTAAAATTTTTATATTGTTTGAAACTCTTGAAATTGTTTAAAAACTTATTTCTGGCCCTTGAAAAAAAAAATTAGCATGTTCTATTCGGAGTAAAAATGATTTTTTGTGCCTCGGCTGTACTCAAGCGTACAGCCTGTCATTTAAGTGTCATTTTTACTCCTAGTAAAACAATAAACTATTTTTTATAAGTTAATTATTAGTTGTCTCTATGGATGCAACTGACTACTGCAAGCTATTGCTAGAATAATCTTTTAGATATAGTTTTATTTTTTTTAAGTATTGTGTGAATAATTGTAAACTTTTAAGTATAAAGTATAATTGAAACCACTAATTTATTATATTAATTTCGAGGTTCCGAATATGGCTAAATTTCTTTTATTTTTAAAATTAGGTCATTACAAATTTTGTTGTTGACTGGACAAAAAAGATGACAATAATAAATGAAAATCTGAGACTCCATAAAAAAAGCGTAAGGTTCGAACAAGATCCATCCAATACCGACAAATTTTACATTTCTGTAAAGTGCAATCGACAAAGAAAATCTTTATGGATAATCTATAAAATAAAATTTCAAAGGGTCCTTGAAGTTTCGTCGCTGAAAAGTCTTGAGGAGCGTTTTGAGTACCAACCGTAAATACGGCAATTATTTTGAAAGGATTGTAAGGGTATGCGTATAATACAGCCTGGATATATTTATTTTATTTCTAAAAATAAACACATAGATTTGATTTTGAATATTTTTTACAGATCCAGTACTATTCGATTCAACTGTATGTGTGTGTGTGTGTGTGTGTGTGTGTGTGTGTGTATGTTAGTTCTAGTTTTTGGAGATCGCTGGTCTATATTTGACACATAATCAGGCCTAATGTCATGTTTTTATTTCCTTAATTGTGAGTACGCATAAATATGAAGTATATCTCCAATATATCATATATAAAATAGAAAATGAGTTTTATTATAATAAAATTATATAAGGATTCTTGCCACTTAACTGCTGATATGGAAATTTAATTCTACGCTGTGTTTGTCATAATGTGGATCAACCTGCTCTCACTACCGGTTTCGGAGCCCTACTCCATCATCAGGTGAGCCTGGACAGATCCACAAAATGACAACCGCAGCGCAGAGATAGTTAATTCCGACTTGTCGGAAAGTATCGGTTAGATATTAAGTCCCGAACGGGAGATAGCGGCCTGCGTGCAATGGTAGGCTTTCGTCACCGTGGCGCAACTACTGATAGTAAAAGGATACTAAAAGGCTTTTTTTCAGGCAAGCCAAACTATAAAATAGAAAACAAATTTCTTGCAGTCTAGGTATATAATAAAATTATATAAGGATTCTTGCCACTTAACTGCTCATATAGAAATTTAGCAGGTTGATCCACATTATGACAAACACAGCGTAGAATTAAATTTCTATATCAGCAGTTAAGTGGCAAGAATCCTTATATAATTTTATGATATACCTATACTGCAAGAAATTTGTTTTCTATTTTATAGTTTGGCTTGCCTGAAAAAAAGCCTTTTAGTATCAATAGTTGCGCCTCGGTGGTACAAAAGTACTACCATTGCACGCAAGCCGCTATCTCCCGTTCGGGACTTAATATTTAACCGATACTTTCCGACAACTCGGAATTAACTATCTCTGCGCTGTGGTTGTCATTTTGTGGATCTGCCCAAGCTCACCTGATGATGGAGTAGGGCTCCGAAACCGGTAGTGAGAGCAGGTTGATCCATATTATGACAAACACCAGCGTAGAATTAAATTTCTATATCAGCAGTTAAGTGGCAAGAATCCTTATATAATTTTTTTAAAAATCATATATTGAGATATAGCAACAGCTGAAGAACAAATACTAAAAAATTTCGGACTTCCATTGTCTTTGTGTATTTTGACCTACACATTGATTCAATAAGATAAATAACTGATCGTTATCAAGTGTGCACTTCACTATCTCTATCTTAATCCGAAGACTATTGAGCTTAGAGGGCAAGTCATTTCTTGAGTCATCATATACCGATTTGTTAATCGATCTAGTCAACGTACAGCCTCGCCACAAAAAGTGTCATTTTTACTCCTAATAAACAGTATACTATATTTATAAATGCTGTAGTTTAAAAATCCAAGGAAGACAAACTTCTCATTGCCTCTTTATTTATAAGTAATAGTATATTAAACAACGAGTTTCGAAAAGGCCGTTTTGCACACGAATTCGACAGTTTGTTGGCTCGAGCCGCAGGCAAAAGTCACAAGTCGAACGAGTATACAAAAAAGTTTTCGAACGAGTTTTTTACGCTATTTTTTCTACAACTACAAATTAGCAGCAGACTCACTCAGTTTTTGCCAGGTTTGTGAAATAATTTGCGATGTAATGATGACACTTTTCTGACGGCTGCGTTGCGTTTGGTGTTTCAGCTAAACATTGGAGGTTAAAAATGTTAAAATTGGCACATGTCGGTGCAAAATGACACATGTAGTGCACTAAATCCTTAGCACACAACAGTTTGCAAAACGCCAATTTCAGATCGAGTTTTCCGTGTGTCAAACTGCATTTTCTAGGCTAGTCCTAGAAAAA